AAAAACCTAATAACTTTGGTAATCAGTACGTTTAGTTCATATCAGTTAAACTGGTAAAACCAATGACTGTTGGACTGAAGTCTAGAAGTTCATCTTGCGTCTACATAACTTAAAAACATGCTGTGGCAATCAGACATTATCATGCTAAGTAACTGGAAAACATGCTGTGGCTGAATCAGATCATCTTGCTACATAACTTAAAAACATACTGTGGCAATCAGACATTATCATGCTAAGTAACTGGAAAACATGCTGTGGCTGAATCAGATCATCTTGCTACATAACATAAAAACATACTGTGGCAATCAGACATTATCATGCTAAATAACTGGAAAACATGCTGTGGCTGAATCAGATCATCTTGCTAAATAACTTGAAAACATGCTGTGACAGAATCATATTAATTAACTACCAGCAAAAATCAGCAATATGCAGTCTGTTGATTTGCAGTTTATTTTACAGTAAATACCTGTGTTGTAACAATAAACACTTTTGGTCTTAACACCTCGTAAATTGCTTAATAAACATCACATTAATTCCATTACATAAAGATTTTGTTTAGAAATAATGTACTTTTACAAATATGATATATCTGTAACAAAATTTATAATTATTTTGAAACAGATTTTAAATTAAAACTGTGTAGTCTTGAAAAAAATGCTACATGTATTTTCTACCAACATGTACGTCATTATTTTTCAGATATGGTCGAAGAGCATCTATTATTGCTAGTTATGCAATAGCTTTAGTCGCTGGCATTGGTTCATCGTTTGCAAATTCTTTTGCCATATTTGCTGCCTTGAGGTTTTTTGTAGGTGCATGTATTATCCCACTTTCAGAAGATCCTTATATTTTAGGTTAGTTGTTTACCTTATGTTTGTTTATTACTTGTGTTAATGGGACATACATATACATATTCAAAGCCCCCCAGTAGCACAGCAGTATGTCTGTGGACTTACAATGCTAGAAACTGGGTTTTGATAACCGTATGGGGCAGAGCACAGATAGCCCATTGTGTAGCTTTGTGATTAATTATAAATAAACAAACACATTCAAAAAATATTTAGTTTTATTTTTTAAAATAATAGCGGTAACAGCTAGTAAATTAAACAATTGTTAAAAAAATACGTTGTTTTTCCTAATTCATTACATGATGTAGAAGTGTTTATGTTGTAAAACTTGAGACAGAATGTATATGCTTTTTATTGTTCAAAAGCTAATCATGATTTAAAACAAGTCAGAGTATAAATATGCAAAATAATTTTGAATACAGGTTGTAATAATTTTGAGTTAAATAGTGACTTACTAGCAATGGGTTTATTTTTTTAACTCAGTTAGCAGAGCTCTTGCATGGTGTAGGACAGGTCATAGGCTACAATCCAAGTTGAAGTTGTACATCTCAAAAAAATAAGTTGCCACATTAACACACATTGTAAGGTTGTACCATAATCCTAAAATTAGGCATGAGGACAAGTCGTGTTTGTGAGAAGGGAAGAATGTAGTAGTTTCAGTTGTTAAAAAGTGATTTGCTATCAAATGATAGATGGTTAACTGTTTAGATCAGTTAGTAGAGCACTTGCCTAGTGTGAGACAGGTCTCGGGTTCAAATATGTTCCAAGAAAATATAATAAAAAAAAAGCTACTACAAGGTACTTAATGGATACTTTTATAGAAATTTTAAAAACAGATTTGCTGTAGCAACTAGTTATTTTAATTACTTGCCACTGTAGCAGGCATGTAAAATTTTCAATCAAACTATGTGAATTCACAAAAGTGTCACATTAGGAATCAGAATATTGGCATAATTTTATAGTTGCCCTTCTGTTTTATAATAAATCATAACCATAGCTAGTTGTCCACATCCAAACTGAATTTTAATCAAATCAGACGACTTTTTATATTTAGTACAAAGTTTGTGCATACAGCTTGCCCTAGCCCCACTAAGTCGACTTCACGTGTGTGTTTTATCAATATTGTTTTTCATACTACTTTAGTCTTTCATGAACTCGCAGAACAAACACAAATAAAAGATGAAAATAATATCTTAAAACTAAGGTAACTCATAACAGTTGTTCAAGCATAAAATTAGATTTTCTTCTACATGATATTATTTATACCAAGTTAAACTGTACTACGTTGGTAATAATAAACATCTTTTTTTTTTTTGACAAAATACAAGTAAATGTTTTACTGGTAAATGAAAACTTTTCAAAATACTAAAGGTAATGGATTGTAGGCGATTGAGTTAGGAAGCATTCTTATTATTATTTTCTTTTAATGAAATGATTTATTGTACAAATATTGTATATATGTGTGCGTATTATGATATCCAATTGTAGTAAGGGAAAGTATAGTCGCTATATTTTGTTATATGGCATTGAATTTTTTAAAAAAAAGTAATGTATGTTGTGTTCTCTCTCTTATCTAGTTCTTTATGCTGTCTTATCATCTTTAATTTCGTCTTATTCTTCTGATAGGCCTAGAGTATATTGGAGTTGAGAAAAGAACACTTGGGATTATCTGTTGGACAACGGGTTACATTACATTCTCAGTCATATGCCCGTGGATATCGTATGGCATAAGAGATTGGCAAATACTAAGCATTATCACCATGGCACCACTTTCTTTATTTGTTTTGTTTGGAAAGTAAGTATTTGTGTTGTTTTACTGTTCATTCGATAGTCAGTCTTGTTATTTCAGAACACTGATTGTTGCTGTATATAAACTGTAAGCTAGTAGACTGGTGTTAATGATTGAATTAGAATTATAATTTAATTGCAGATTTAACTGAAAAAAAGTGTGTATTAAATGTGCAGCAAGAGAATTTGAAATGAAATTTGGAGAGTATGGCTAGAAATTATTATTAGCAAGTCATATTTTTCATTCGTAGCTAAGATGCTGTAGAAGTTTTAGCTAAATTTTTTTCTATATTTATAAGTTTGGTGTAAACATTTAGAATTGTGAGCTAGATTATCCAACTGTTCCAAATGAATCTGGCTCATCCTTATAGTGTTCATGGTTAAAATCTACATTAACTTTGAGAAACTTCTTAACAGCAGTACCAGTTAATACTGCAAATATTTCAGGTAAACTATGCCAGGGATGGCTTGGTAGAATGATATATTCTAACTGCAAATATTTCAGGTAAACTATGCCAGGGATGGCTTGGGAGAATGATATATTCTAACTGCAAATATTTCAGGTGAATATCATTCTACCAAGCCATCCCTGGCATAGTTTACCTGAAATATTTGCAGTTAGAATATATCATTCTACCAAGCCATCCCTGGCATAGTATTCTAACTGCAAATATTTCAGTATAAATTGTTTGTTTTCTTGACTGTAGTTTGCATCATTTTACTTTCCAAATTTGTGTTGATTACATTATTCATGATACAAGTGTCTTAAGATGTAGTGTAGGCAACTGAGAGCAGATTGTTTTCTTATTTCATTAGTTTTATAAACTAGAACTTGACTGGTGCCAAATTATCTTTCAAAGGACTTTCTATCCCCATGCCAATGTTGGCCTTATGTACAAGTGATTAGTTACTGCTTGGTGCCTTACACTTCTAAGGGCCTCGAAATGTGAATTTAAAAATAACATTTAAAATTTTGGCAATAAAACAAGAAAAAAAAACAATTGGATGATCTAGATGGACCAACAGGTCTTCTGTTGTCCTTAAATTTTGTTATAATGCTTCTGGTAACATTTTTATCTAGATATAAGTTCATATATTCTTGTAAGCTGAATATAAATAGATAATGTAGATCATATACGTTACTAAGTTTTTGGTTTAAATTTCAATGTAAGGTTTACGTAATAGTATAGCTTGTTATTTATCTTTTTTTTTGTTAACAATATAAACAAACATTACAAACACAGTTGTCATGTATTTAATGATCAAGGGCCTTTGAACTAAAAATAATTAAACCAATTATTAATGTTAATTCTCAGGTGGATCCCTGAATCAGCAAGCTGGTTATTGACTCGAGGCAGGATAGAGGATGCTGCCCATATGTTAAGAACTGTTGCAAAAGTAAACAGAAATCATTTCACTGATAATATTTTCCAGGATTTACATGTAAGTTATTGTAACTAATTTGGAATCAATAGAGTAGGAGACTCATTTATCCAGAAATTCCAGTTAATTCAATAATTAATTGCTGTACATAATTTTATGCATTTTGTATAACATACAGTCTCATCTCTAACCTTTATATATATCATTAAATTCACATATATTGTATATACAACTATAAAATAAAGATCAAGATTTATAGAGAAGTTATTGTAAGAAATGAATTCGGTTTACTTGAAATGTTAGCTTTAAAATGCAATTATTATTTTATTTGTCTGTTTGTTGGAAATGAAAAAGTGAAAAGTGCCAGCAAATATAAATAACCAACTGAATATGAAAAGCATATGTTAGTGCCCCTATATTTCTTTAATATACCTTTTCAAATAACATTTTTCTTTGGGTTGATAAAGGTATAATATATTTCGAACTTCCCCTGTGTTTAATGTTGTTTGAAAAATATATGTGGTATACTAATAAAAATTTGGTTTGGTTTGGATTTAATTTTGAGCAAAGCTACAAGATGGCTATATGCACTAGCCGACCCTAATTTAGCAGTGATAAACTAGAGGGAAGGCAGCTAGTCAACACCACCAACCCTTGGGCTACTTTTTTACCAATGAATACTGGGATTGACAATCACGTTATAATGCCCCGTGGCTAAAATGGGGAACATGTTTGGTAATGGGGATTCAAATACTAATAAAAGAATACAGTGTTATTTCTAACAGTTAGTGAAAAACCACAGTAAACGGAACAAACTGTCAGAAGTCTTGATATCAGAGAAACTACACATTCATGCATCCTCTTCAATGTCAGTATGTGCACAGGTGGGGTCAAAGTGCATATGCCACAACTTTTTACAGAGTACATTCAACATAGTATTAGATATTTGATGTCAGAATTATCAACTATTTATTTGACCTCACATTGCTGATTTAACGACAGATCTTGGTAGAAGAGAGAGAGAATACCAGGTACTGAAAGAAATAGTAGATATGTATTTAGGAGGTTCTTGAAGTTATGAAAATTCAATATGCAAACTGAATGAACAAAAGTATTTTTATTCTTCATATGAGCCTCACCTTGCACTCCAAGTTTTAAGAGTCAAGTCAGACTGATGTCGTTAATTCACAGACATATCTCGAGTACAGATACCCTCATAACTCATCTGATTTTTTGTGTACAACTAACTTGTAAATCTTATTAAAAGCTTGCCACATTTTCTGTAGATACATGTAGTAAATTTAGAATTCTAGTCCAAATAGATGATCGTTCCAATGGACTATTCCCATGCATGTTCAATTAATTGACTCCTAGATATTACTCGGTATTCAAGTGGTCACCTCTTTGGAAATTTAAGGCTATACAGTATGAACCTCTTGAATTATCTTTGAATTTGAAAAAGTAAAAAATTCAACCATGTGGAAACATGTATTTCCAACAGAAATAATCTTACCTAATATTTCATTTCTTAACTTATTAATATCGATTGTGAAAACTGTATGAACTACAGTATTTTAGATAATGGGAACCAGTAAGAAAACAATGGTCTGTGTGGTTAGTGCAGTACTCATATAAGAAGATCAACTGTCGTATAAACCTGCACAGTTAAAATAATTTAGGTTTAATTTTAACATGTTAATATAAAAGAAACTTCAACAGGTTTAATTTATTGTTGTTTAAAAACATTTCAAATTACCTATGTTTTCCATAATTCTGTAAATTTCCTTAATAGTGAAGGTACCCACTGGATGAAACAGTGGGTTCCAACTTTACAGATCAAAAATAACAATTAAAATAAGTTTATTGTTTATTACCAGATTGAATTTTAGTTTTGTTGTAATTACCTAGCTTGCTCTGATCAAAAGTTAACTTTGATTAGATTAGATATAAAAAGGTTTTAGTATCAATAATTTGTGTATATAATTGTCTGAAATTGACATTTTTGGAAACCCGAGTAATGAAAAAGAAACTAAACAAAGGATCAGAATTTTAATTTTAAAGTAATAAATTTTCTTGCACTTTTGATGTGAGAATTTAGTCGTTTTTGTGAAAAACGTACCACCTATATTAGGTTCTCGTTCTTTTCTACCCGTTAGTTTTAGTTTGTTATAGAATAAACATATTAATAATTCTTGTGGTTGAAATGATATGTTAAAGAGTATATCAATCTCCTTTTGTCTCTCCACTTTTGAATCATCTCAGAGAATTTTGGAAGATTGTTTGTTTGTTTGTTTTTGAATTTCGCGCAAAGCTACACGAGGGCTATCTGCGCTAGCCAGCCCTAATTTAGCAGTGTACGACTAGAGGGAAGGCAGCTAGTCATCACCACCCACCGCCAACTCTTGGGCTACTCTTTTACCAACGAATAGTGGGATTGACTGTCACATTATAACGCCCCCACAGCTGAAAGGGCGAGCATGTTTGGTGTGAGAGGGATTCGAACCCGTGACCCTCAGATTGCGAGTCAAGTGCCTTAACCACCTGGCCATGCCGGGCCAATTTTGGAAGAACACCAGAAATTAGTGAATACGTATATACAATGTTTTAATTTTTTTGTGATACTTACACCAGTATCTTAAGATAGAGTGCACAATTTACTTATTCAGAAAACTTAATTGATGCTTAATTATTTTTTGCAGGCAGACAAGGATGGTGACATTGATATGGATGAAAGACATCTCACAATATTAGATCTATTTCGTACACCTCGTCTTCGAAAACACTCATTCATTATGGCAGTAGCATGGTAAGCCGAAAATAAATGAAGCATGTACTCATTTTTTAAGACTTAAACACATGTAGTCACGAACATTCTACATGTAAGTTTTACATGTTGTTTAAAAATGGATGATGATTTTATACTACAGACTTATTTCAGTTTTTTTATTATGAATTGATATGTTTCAAGGTAAACTGCTCTTTGCTTTGTTGTTTTATAAACATTTTCTTTGTTCTTTAAGAAGATATTTTTGAAATTTTAGTTTGGTCTTTTTTTGCTCAGGTTTGTCACCTACTGCTGCTATCACACGAATACTCAAAACACCTCCAATTTAGGAACGGATATTTATGACTCTTTTACGTATGGTGCTCTTGTTGAAGTACCTGCAATGTTGTTGATATTGTTTGGTCTTGACTTGTTGGGTCGTCGTTGGCCTATGGTGCTAGCAACAGCTTTAGCAGGACTATTTGGACTACTCATCATGGGCATGCCTGAGAGTAAGTAAACTTTTTTCATGGTACTTAAATGTTAAGTACAGGCAAGGCAATTAAGCATTAATACCTAAACATTTTAAGAAAATTATCTAAATACAATTTTTACCATACATGCTGGTTCATGAAAACAAGAAATGTGAAAGGTTCTTCTTTTCTGTATTATTTTTCTAAGTGCATATGCATACATAAAGAGAGAAATTCAAACTTACAGTTTTATCTATGCTTGTTTGGTTGTTGTCAAGAGCAAAGCTATACAATGAGGTACCTGTTCCCCACCTACTGGAGGTATTGAAACCACATTTTTGTATTGTAAGCCCTCAGTCTTACTGCTGAGCCACTTGGGGACTATGCCTTTGAATACGTACTTAAAACACTGTCCAGACTAGGATGTAAAGGTGTTTTTTTTTTCTGGGGCCTGGCCTCTTTATATAATGTTTATCCATTTTTCTAAAGAAAACATGAAGAATTAATCTTTGAACTGATCATTTTGTAACATTGAAATATCTTATTATTTTGAAAATAAAATCTAGAAATTATGATAACACATAAGTGGATCACAATAACTTGAGGTCCCTGCAGCTCGGTGAGTAAGTATGATTTTTGTAAATAGATATAATCGTAATCACAGGTTTTGATGTTTGACTCTGAAGTGTTTCTATTCCGACTTTGTAGAACCTTAGTTCAACATTATACTTGTATAGGATACAATTAAATAACATGTTGTAAGAGTAAAAATTAAAATTCACTATTGCTGATGATGGTACATAATATCGAGTTAATAATGTGATATATATTCTGTACTGATTGGAGATATTGTTTTTGAATGAAGAGAATTGACCATGCTATAAGCTTTTGCTTTAATTTCTAGAAATTAGTTTAAAGCTTAAAAACGTTTTACTAAATATTTAAACTCTAGTCGACTATCATCTGTTCAAAATTTGACACACAGATATATATTGTAAAATTAAAGAAATGGATTTGTAAAATTGTTAATAATTATAGAAATTAGTCTCTTTTAAGTCTTTCCTGAAAAATTAAACCTTTTTTGCTCAATATTTTTACACTTGAAGCAACATATCTGGGTTTGAATATCCATTCTTTATTTACCTTTTTTAATTGTGTCAACATATCTGGGTTTGAATATCCATTCTTTATTTACCTTTTTTAATTGTGTCAACATATCTGGGTTTGAATATCCATTTTTTATTTACCTTTTTTAATTGTGTCAACATATCTGGGTTTGAATATTCATTCTTTATTTACCTTTTTTAATTGTGTCAACTATCTGAAGTTTGAAGCTTCAAATGTTTTTAATTATGAAGTAGACAAGCAGAATATTTTGGTATACACACCTCGTGTCAAAAAATACATCTTATATAATACCATTCTTTTTATTATCTTCAGGCTTTTCCATTTTTTGAGCATCACTCAAGTTTTTTGTCATTGTTTTTCAACTTTAAAAGTTTAGTACTTGGATTATATGTATCTTGTGTTTCTTAATTCTTATGTTCACAATATTTTTTCTTTTCAAGATGCTCTGTTGAACTGTATTTAGTAACTTTAGATTTTTTTTATTTATATTAAAGGAACTCTTGATGTGTGTATTTTGTTATATGCAACCGTAAATCAAGATCTATTCCCACAGGAGCAATTTCTGCCTGATCAAAAATAGTGATTTATTAAAACAATCCGTCTGTTAGTATAATATTAGATAATTTACTTGATCCTATGTTGTCTATTCTAATTATGCTCTTAATTGTAACTTAAACTCAGTCAACAGATGTTAACTCTGACTGATCATAATTGGTGGGAAAATTCAGGTTTTTTTTAAATTTAAAATAACGAGATTGTGCAGTTATTCCATTGGCCAAGACTGCAATGTATCTCTTATAAAGTAAGTTAAATATTTGCCAAGATTAGAAAATACTTTTTACATACACAAAATCACAAAAAGAAATTCTCTGTGTGTGTATGTATATATATATAAAGGAAATGTTTATATCTTCAGGACTCTTTTGGCATGTTTATTTTTAATTCCAATCTACAGTTTTCTATAAACAAACTTGAAGGACAGTTATGAACATGATAATATATTTTAACACTAAAATTTTCATTCATGGTAAAGAAGCACACGGCTAAATTGTATTTCAATGAAGCTTTTAAATATCATAGACTTTTTTGTTTCATCCATAAAACACCAATGTAAACTTAAGTAAAAATTTACTTTTCTCAGTTCAATTGGCATATGCTCACAACAAACTTCCATTGATACCACCATGAAGTATAACATAGACTCACCAACTTCTTCTGTTACAATTGTGAAGTATAATGTTATCCCACAAACTTCCACCATTACAGTTGTGAAGTAAAACATTAACCCACAAACTTCCACCATTACAGTTGTGAAGTATAATGTTAACCCACAAACTTCCACCATTACAGTTGTGAAGTATAATGTTAACCCACAAACTTCCACCATTACAGTTGTGAAGTATAATGTTAACCCACAAACTTCCACCATTACAGTTGTGAAGTATAATGTTAACCCACAAACTTCCATCATTACAGTTTTGAAGTATAAGGTTATCCCACAAACTTCCACCATTACAGTTGTGAAGTATAATGTTAACCCACAAACTTCCACCATTACAGTTGTGAAGTATAATGTTAACCCACAAACTTCCACCATTACAGTTGTGAAGTATAATGTTA